ATTCATCCGTGACTTCTGCTTTGCTTGGTAACCATCAACAGGATGTTTTTTTATTTTTCAAAAGTTGTGCAGGTCTGTTTTAACAACATCTATGAAAAAGAAAAATCTGCGAAATAACTAATGGTGTGAACTCGTATAAACATCCGAAGAAAAAAAAGGCCTTGAACTACACACTAACAACCTTCTTGCCGTAGGGCATGTGCACCATCCACTTCTTTCACAGTTTAGATCAACTCCCCAGTTACTGTGAGGAAAACTAAGAAAGTTTGGAGCAGGAGAGAACTTTAGAGTCCACTCTCCAGCAGAAAAACTCAAACCTCCTCTGTCCACAGCCAGAGAGCCCACTAATGACTCCAGCTGCAACAATTCACTCTGGCCCTGATGCACTGCTGCGCTCACACAAACACATTCTCTCATTAAAGGAAATTAAGTCAAACTGAACGTAGGAAAAAAAAAATCTCCTTTTGTCAATGTGACTGGTTTTTATCTCGTGGCATAATTTAATGCTCATAATTCAAAATTCCACTTCAGATGAGAACATTTTGTGGTTTCATGTGCCTGCCTTTCACACAGAGAGCATAGAGTCTGGGGTTCGATTCCCAGAGGAACCACGTACCGCTCTCTCGAATCGTTCTGTTCCAGGGGGATTGGGACTAAGATATGGGAATGGGAGAAAATCATTTCTCTGACCTTTCTGACCACACCATCAGATGTTTATTCAGATCTTATTTTGAGTTAAAAGTTCAATTTTAACGCCATAATAAAAACGTATACTGTTTATTTTGATATTGCAGCATTTTTAAAGCTCCGTCTTCTTTAAGACTGAAAGAAAAAACGACTTTGTCTTCGTGTGATTATCAGAAGATCTACCACAACAGATGGGCTTGGATAAAAATGCTCATCTATCACCCGTGTTCTAATTAAAACCACGTTTGATTTGACTGTGGTTGATTTTGGCGACATCCCTCTGTGGTAGTTTCCTGTTTGTACTATATTTACACAGAGGAGTTTATTTTTTAATACTCTTGCAAATTGTCATTGGTGCCCATTCATTTTAAAAATGAATTAGTAATTTTAACAATAAACAGAGAATAAGAATTTATTTAGAAGAAAAAAAAAACAGTAAAAAAAATTAATTAAAATATATTTTGTAACCCATACATGAAAAAATTAATCTGTATGTACGGGTAAACGAGATTTGTGAAATTTTTCTTTTTTTTGTGTGCCATATTTCATGCCCTGCGATGCCTCTTAAAGGGTTCGTAAAGGGTTAATATATGTAAATAATGTTAGTTTTTCACCTATCATGGGTGGTCTTGGAACGTAACCCCGCGATGGACGAGGGACCACTGTATACGTTGGTTTATGTAAATGTATTTGTGAGGCTGTCGTCGTTGCCAGATGTTGAGGTTCACCAACAACGGTTCATTCATTTAAGGCCGACAGTTTAGCTGCTTTTGTTAAGTGGCTAACATTCGTTTGCCCATGGTCATTACCATGACCTGCTGGTTCCTGACAAGGTGAAAGAAAAGGGACAAAAACTTTTATAGAAATAAATGATGACCTAATTAAAGGGAGAGAGCACAGAAGGCAACACAAAGGAAGTTGAAAAAAAAAACAGGGAACAGATGAAATTAAAAAGTTTGCATCCACCGCTGAGGGCAGACAGCCTGGAGGCGCCGGCAATTCAGTGGAGATTCATTTACCTGCCTCTCGGAGCTAATGAGACACGACACACAGACTGAGCTGGAATAGAAATCAATGGGTGCTCTGAGCAGCTGAGTGGCTCCCAGTTCACAGCTCAAACACCCTCGAATCAGAATAAATCTGGGAGCAAACACAAGTCCAAGAGTGTGTGTGTGTGTGTGTGTCCATAAAAGACACGGGAAACTACAGCTGGGCAGTAACACCGACTTTCCCCTCAGGATATCGAGGTGCACTTTTGTCCTAAGAGGTCATCTGCAACCAGTGGCATGTAGATGCAGGAACTCTGTTGCTAGGGAACAAAACCAAATAATTTCATTACTGGAAAAAAAAGAAAAGAAAAAGAAAACACTTTTAATGTGATTTTTGCTCTCAGTCATGATAGTTCAACCTCCTGTGGCTCTGAGGCTCTTGTTTCTCCACTGAAACGTCCGCACATGGTAACGAGGAACAATTGGTGGAAATGAAGACATTTGAATATCAAATCATCACATGAGCTTGACAAACACGTAATATTTCAATGTACTTATCAGAAGGATATTATGGATAATTTAATGAGGTGAGTATAAATACTTTTTTGGTCAAAAATGTTTTTGTTTGAGAACCAAATTGTTTGAAAAGGGAGGAGTTGGACAACCGAGGTTTGACTGTACACGGCCGTTAGCCCCGGAGCTAATATTGGTCTCCCCTGTGCATTCCTACTGCGGTTGAGGCACTGGAGCAGGAAAGAGCTAAGGTGTAGCCAGCCGTGTACAGGTACTGTTCGGAAAAAAAA